TGTATAAAATTTATATAAATTTAAAAAACAAACTTATAATTTATCTTTGGCAAAATTATCATTTGTAAAAGGCCTAATTTCTACTAGCAAGGTAGAAAAAAGGATATTTACTCTTTTTCATCACTTAGGAACTTTTAGTTGAAACTATTAAACTTAAAAACTATGCTAATATACATACAATTTGCATTAATTACGCATTTGAAAACGCGCATTTTGAACACACAATTAATGCAGTTTAGAAGCCAATGCAGTAAAATGCGCATTAAACGCACGTTATACGCGCATTGGCGCTCCTTGGGTAGTACGTCAGTGAGGCTGCGCAGAAGTTCGCTCAACGCGCGTGCGCGAATAAATTCTTGCAATCTCCCATCACTGGCCGTAATTACATGAGTATCACCGACGGAGCGTCGTGCCGCGTACGCACGCTCCGAATGCTCCGATACGCTCCTAGGGGCGGTCGGCAGTGCGTCTATCGTCAATCGTGATTACGGGTGCGACGAGATCGCGTGGGACACTGATAGTCTAGCCGGTGGTTCGCGCCAACTTCGGTCGCTGCGGGCAGTTGCTCCGGAGCGTGTGACAAGTTTGTTTCCGCTAACAAGCCGGCCAAGAACGATGACGACGATTAACGCGGATCTGCGGCGCGAGCGCGAGAGATGCAGCTTCGATCCCATGGAGCTCACGGGTTTCTGGGACGGCGGTGCGGAGAAGTCGTCGCATCGGCGCGAGCTAGGTTCGTCGTCTCCCTGAGATTAATTTCGTACGCGCCACTCGTGTCGGTGTCCTCTCCCTGCGTGACGTGGTGCAGCGATGCCGCCTGTTACCTTTTCAACGCGAGGAGCCGCGCCAAGTGTCAACGCCCAATCGTTAGATTCTTAATCCCCCCGCTCGTCGCGGGAATCTTTCAAATAGATATTATTTTTCAAAATAACGTCTCTTTCCGTAAATTCTACGTTCCCGAAAGAGCTAAACTGAATGAAGAAGATATTTAAATTCTCGACGTGAAAGATGTAAATTGGTTTTTTCATACTCTTTTTTTTCAATACTATGCGTCAATTCGCGTTATAAAAACAACACTACGACTGAAAATTTTATCTGTTTGTCAACTACGTTACTCACTCCTAGGCGATAAAGCGTTGAATGCTGAATCTTACGTATCAGGTCACGCCTTGCGTCCGTTGTAATCTCTTTACTACTTCATAAGAGTTTGGCTTTTCATACAGCATTTATTCTCGCGTTGATTCGCAACTTGCACGTGTCCCGTCACGAAAACTAAACGCGTAACTTAATTGTAAACGACTACGGTCAATTTCCCTCGATGAAACGGGAAGAAAACTTATATCGCAAATTAGGACGAGGAGTAATTTCTGAAAGAAAAAAAAGACAATAATTGATCGGTACAAAACGGGCAGTGAGAACCGACGCAGTTATTAGGTGATCATACGGCACGTATTTGAATCGCAGATAAACAAAATAATAAATCGTTTCGTGACACGTTTCGGTCTACCAAAGTGATTCTTTTTAAATTTCGATCAAATTTTAAACCGCAATTAAAATAATGTTTAAACTCGTTTACATTGTTTCGGGAGAAAAGAAAGAGAAGAAAAATTGTAATTTATAACTGATATGTTCGTAATTAAAAAAAAAGCGCCAATTCTTTTAAAAACTGCTCCAATTATTATAGACGGAAAGGCATACAAGTTTCCGTAGCGTTCCTAGAAATGTGTTGAATTAGTAGGTGAAAGGCGTGAAAGTTTATACTTCGGTTTCTTGCGATCGGTTACACGAGCGAATTAGTCTCGTTCAATATATTTTTCTCGTACGCGATAATCTTCTTAATGATATTGACAACGGTTCTTGTAACGTTTTTCAATTTTTATAATTGTTTTATAGACAATCGGGGCGCTATTACATTTGTCGTACGACAAAGTTTTTTTAAGCGCGTTGACTGGCCACAAGCTAGAAAATTTCTAGATACTCGAGAACTCTTTTAATCTTGCAGCCAATCAGCACGCTTGAATAATTTGTCGTACGACAAATGTAACACCAGCCACATTCTGCGCGTAATATATTGCTGTTACAAACATCTCCAAATGCGATACGACGTAATTGACGTCAACGACGACTCTATCAGTATTATAAAATAACATCTAGCACTGTAATGCCCCATCGGCAAAAGTTTCGTCAACCTCTGCCTCCATTTCTACGCGGAGAAAATTCTCTTATCAAATTTGTCCTGAAAATCATGTTAATCGTAGGACAGCACGGCATTTCGAAGAATTTTCGAGAGTTTGAAATTTTACCCATACATTTTGCTGGTAAAAGTTCAAAAACCTGAAATAAATTTGTTCAAAATGTCCATGTTGTTCCACAATCACGCGTGATTTTCAGGATAGATTTTAAGAGAAAATTCTCCCTGTGTAGTTACCCTGTGTCGCATAATTTTGTATCTGCTTCTCTTATCGCGATTCAAAGATACGCTCGTGTCGACAAATGCACTGAATCATATAATCGACATTAGCGAGTGTCATGTGAACGTGGGAAAATGTTTGATGCTTCGTCATTGGTAGGAACGATCTTTTCCTCGTCGTTCTATTTCTTCCGGTAATTATCTTGTTCCCATAATCGGTTTCGCTCGCACGGTCTTATGCATAAACACACATCATCTTAATCAAGTCAGCCTCGTTATATAATATAAAATATTTATGAAGTATTCAATTATTTACTCGTTTTATTTCCATATTCTTATCTGCAATCTTTCCGTGGTACTTTACTTGCGATGAGCTTTAATATGATATCATTTCTTTGCCTATGTATTCTCTTTTTTGTCTTTCACTTGTGTCAAGGTAAACATACGTAACTGTTTTTTCGTATCGTTTTAAGTGACTATGAATTATTTATTAGGTAATTTTCCAGCTGTGTTAACGAACAATTTATTTACATAGATATTTTGGAATTTATCGCGCACGTAAAATTATTTTTAGAAGTTTTCAACAAAAGTGCATAATATTAGTAAGAATTTATTAGCTGTCGAGTGTTTTGTATAAAGAGATGTGAGGATGAGAATCGTAAATGTAAATGTGAATAAGAATATCGGTTTTTTTCTTTGATAATGAAAGAGAGAAAGAGACGGAGAGATGACTTGGCCCTCAAGCTTTCGCGGCTGCTGTCTTCTTCAGTCGTAATGGCTTCCGGATGGTTGCCGCGTTTGCAGTGCGGTGCCGACGTTTCGCAAACATTGCAGTTTGCATCATTAGGACTGGGGGGGGGGGGGACTCTGATACTGCGGCTGTGTTCCGATATTCACTGCCAGTACTGCGAATCTATAGTTTACGTCACGTGTACTATAGATTTTGTACTATACATTTACAGTACTGGCAGTGAATATCGGAACACAGCCTGGGTAGCACCACTATCAGGGCCAGTTCCACAAACGTTGGTTAACTGTTAACTAGAGTTCAGTCAACGCCCTATCCTTTTCTATCTTGTTCTCTAAGAAGAGACAGAGGATCAGTTAACCTTCGGTTAGCAGTTAACCGACGTTTGTGAAACTAGCCCTCAGAGTCCCCCGGCCCTGATGATGCAAACTCCAATGTTTGCGAAACGCCGGCACCGCACTGCAAACGGACGCGGCAACCATCCGGAAGCCATTACGACTGGCAGAGAGATGACTATTGCGATAACAGTAATAGACTATTATGTACTGTAAAATTTTTTAATTTGACATTTATAATAGCTGTATGATATTATATGTATATGAGATCGAGGGGGGAAACCGCTGAGGGCATTGTGGTGTACAGATTTGCGGCATTGCTGGGCGTTACTGGGCATTGTTTGGGCATTATAAAGATAAAATAAGATAAATAAAATAAAATACGATAATAAGATAAAGTAATGCCCGCTGGGCATTGGCGTACGAGATTTTGGTCAGCAATTTTCCCCTCGTATGAGATACTAGAATATGTTGCGTGAGATTAAAATTAATCACTCGCTCAAAAATATTACCATCTACGATAAGATACATCAAACAAACCTCTTGAGCCGTGAACTTTCTTCATATGTATTGATAATGAGCCATAAGTATCTGTAACTGCGTCTTTCACAAGTGGCATGCGCGGCTACTCGGTTCAATGTTCAACGCGAGATTAAATATCTCATCATAACTCATATTTCCACGTGGACTTGGACTTTACGATTACTTTGTGATGTATCTCATCGTTGTCCGTCGCTGATGCGAGATATGTGATGACTTGCAGGAAAGAATCGTCATTCCGACATCATTGACATTCGCGTTATTTACCTAAAAAATATATTCAAAGGGCTCTACTAATATACGTTAAAATTAATATAAAAAAAAGAGAGAGAAAGGCGTTAAGAGCCAACGCCAGTTGTTAGGTGCGAGTGAAGTAATAGATTTAATGCTAAATAAATTTAAACGAGTGAAACGTTTCGATCATCTCATATGTGATTCGTCTCAATGACATAAAGTATATATTGGCCTAGTTTACATCGTCAAAACGTTAGTACACGTATTAAGTTTAGTGCGCATCAATGCTTTAATACGTATGCGTTTACATCGAATCACATCGAGTGTACCAACCGGAAAAAATAATACGAATTTAATTCATGTCGATTGCCTCATAATCTGCTTCTCCGTGCATAACTCTAGAAATATTCGTATTTCTTCTTCTTTCCAATTGAATCCTTTTTTACATGACATTTTAATGTAATTTTGACACAAAACGAAACAATCTGACAAAAAATGCGGCGGTCTGCCTCGCGAAACGAATGTTACAGTTGACGACTTTACAGGTTATAAAAGTATGAAACGAACACAATGCGTTTCATGCGTTTACATCGTCATTTGTATCATTTGATACGCGTATCAGTTTAATACGATACTCCTATTTGATATGCTCGTACCAAGTTGATCCGGCAGCGTTTACATCGTGCGTACTTAATTATTTGGTACGAATATAGTACTTGATACGCGTATCAAATACATGATGTAAACTAGGCCAATAAAATGTATCGCAGTATAATAAATAACACAACGTATAAATCAGTTAATAACATAAAAAATTGAGCAATCTGAATGACCGTTAGGATAGACAACGCGATGACTTCGCTCTATGTAAAATTATAACGACCTCACCCGATGGTAGATGTCAGAACGCTATGCTTGCATTGCAGTACATAACAAAAACGCCGAATACTACGTTTTAAAAATGTTCTCACTCGCGAAATATGATCTTCCCGCAAGTTCCACAACCTCGCTTGCACAGATGGACTAATGAATTGTCTACCTAACACCACACGAAGTATTCGGCGTTTCGATTCCGGGTGAGATCGTTATAATTTTATTTCTTTTTTTTAAATTAATTTTCACGTTGTTTATTTTATTTTTAAGCCAAGGCGAGTCAACTTCTAAACTCCGGCACGTCGAGAAGTGTTTTTTACCAAATGTTATCTTTAAGTAAACGCTTTCCCAAGACCGTTATCTAATTCTATAATGGACTAAAATTAAATTAGGATTTGTCTATATCAAATCGTTACTTTACAAAGGATAAGGGAGATGTATATGTCTAGTCATTTGTGTTCCACGATTTTACGATTATGTAATTCAAGAATCACAAAGGGGGCGGCCTCGATACGAATGTCAAGTTCGTCGAATTAGAAACTGGTTGTGTAACTTTCGTTGAGACGTCGTCGGTGTAGAGATGCCTCGAAACAGCATCCTCATTCATTAAGAAATTTTTATTTCGGATTATTTCTATAACCACATACAAAAAACCGCTCTATATCGACATTAATATAGCTTAATTTAATCAATCAAAATTGTTTTATTAGTCAATCTGATTGTGTAGCCATCACGTAATTTAATTTAAATATTTGTTAATTATGAATAAATTTGTATAGTTTGTGTTGGTGTTGTGTTGCTCAATATCCACATTTGCATTCTTAATTATGCAAGTTTAATTATTCACTGACGATAATAACTTCATCTGTAAGAAAACTGCGTTATGTCCGAAAAGAAACCGGCGCGCAAGACAAATGTGGAAAATGGGACGGTATATGAATTCACAATTTATTAAAAATTACAAGTACAGGCTATCTACATCCTGCCCTTGACTCGCATTGGCCATTCTTGTTTCTTGTTTATTTAATTATTTTCAAATAGGTGATAATTCGAGCTCATTACTTGCAGAAAACTTTTTTCTAAGCGATCCGCTTCTGCATGACAAAATTCCTGCAAAGTACAAGAGTCACAAGGAAATTTATGAGGAAGCTATTATGAAAGGATGCCGGGTGTTGCAGAAAGTGCAACAGTTACACGACTCAGGGAAAGGCGGCATGGATGTTTTCTCGTAAGACATTCAAATATATAATAAATAAACAATAACCGTTTTACGTTACACACTATGAAGGAACTGTATATTTAATATAATATATTCAAAGTCAGATTTTTAAGTAATATCATTATTTATAAAATATATTATTTACTCGAGATAATATTTAATTGAATTCGAAGTGTAATGTTCCACGCGAGGAAAAATACTTTTAAAGAATGTAAAAAGGCGTAATTTTACAAAAGCATGTGTTGCTCTGTAGACAAATTTTAGGAGGTACGTTAGGCTCGGCGGTATTGAAGGATGGTAATCCGTTGACACTGCACTACGTCATGTTCATACCGGCTATTATGGGACAGGGCACTGTCGAACAACAAGGATATTGGATATCCAAGGCTTGGAGCTGTAGTATCATCGGTACTTATGCCCAAGTATGTTTCTTACTAATCACGAACTCTTATCGTGCTTTTTATCATTTTTTATTATATATATTATATATACTCTATTCTAAAAGTCGTTTAATCTTAGAATAATAAAAATGCGTTTTTAGACGGAGCTTGGTCATGGCACATTTATTAGAGGCTTAGAAACTACAGCGACCTACGACCCCGAAACCAAAGAATTCATATTAAATAGTCCGACTTTGACATCATACAAGTGGTGGCCTGGTGGTTGTAAGTTTTATTTCTTCTTGCTCAACATAACATATACTCGAGTCACTCTCGAGGCTTATAGAAAAGAAAATACTTTCAGTGGGTCATACGGCAAATTATGCAATTGTTGTTGCACAATTATATACGAAAGGAGAGTGCCGAGGTATCCATGCTTTTGTTGTGCAACTCAGGGACGAGAATACTCATGAACCTTTACCAGGTGCGTGAGATGCATTTTACAAGTAAACTCGACGTCTTTCGCCGAGTACAACGCGTTTACGAACGATCAAAAGATTTGTGTTAAAAGATTCGCCTTTGTTTTCAGGTATAAAGATCGGTGAAATTGGCACCAAGTTAGGAATGAATGCGACTAATAATGGCTTTCTCGGTTTTGAGAATGTCAGAATACCGCGCGAGCATATGCTGATGAAAAATTCTCAGGTAATGGAAACAGAAGGAGAGTGAGGCGTCTACGATTAGTTGTTTAACGATAAGTCTAAAGTCGAGAAAGAGGTCTAATCATCTGAATTTGCAGGTGCTGGAGGACGGAACCTATGTGAAAGCGCCTAGTGATAAACTCACCTATGGTACAATGATGTTTGTTCGAGTGGTATTAGTACGCGATATCTCGAACTACTTGTCCAAAGCAGTGACAATAGCCATTAGATACAGCGCAGTAAGACGACAGAGCCAGATAAAGCCTGAGTATGTAATAAAAGAAAATAGGGATAACCAATAATATTTACAATCAATTTAAAGAGTTTATACTATTATGCTGTTACATTTTGACATATTGTTTGATTTCGATACGAAACACGTAATGAACACAACAAGTTTCATACAAGTCTTATCTTATTTGATTTATTTTACTATCTTCTTTTTACACTCATTGTCAGTCTAAAGGTCGACTAAAGATATAGTAATGTGCATGGTAATTAAACTAAAGTATCAGTATCCAGAATCGTTTAATATTAACACTTACCTTGAAATTTAGTTTCTGAATACATTTGGTTTATACTTGGACTTTTATTTTTACAATTCTGATAACGATCCTGAATAAATTGCTTATTTTTATTTTTCTAAGAAAAGTCTAATTTATTTCAGCGAGCCGGAATCACAAATTATGGATTATGTCACGCAACAGTATAAATTATTCCCCAATCTTGCTGCGTGTTTCGCATTCCGAATGTGCGCCGATTGGATTTGGGAGATGTACAATAACGTGACAGCTGAATTAGATCAGGGAGAGCTAGAGAGATTGCCTGAGGTATGCTAAAATGTTATTATAAGAATGAAAATTGTAAGGAAAATGATTGCGATTGCAGATTCTGTATACTAAAAGGACTAATTTGGAATTAAAATGATAAGAAATTAAATAATAATTGTCGTTATTATTATAGAAATAAAATTATATTTTTTCAGCTACATGCGCTGGCATGTTGTCTAAAGGCAGTTGCATCGTCGGACGGTGCCACTGGCATCGAGCAATTACGATTGGCATGTGGCGGACATGGTTATATGGATGCAAGCAACTTGCCAGCGATTTATGGTTTAGTGACTGCTACCTGCACTTATGAAGGCGAAAACACGGTTCTGCTATTGCAAACGGCTAGATATTTAGTGAAAGCTTGGAGACAAGCTGTCGGCGGTGAACCACTACCACCGACTGTTGGCTATTTAGCTGATCTTTCACGTGGAATAAAACAGCATCCTTGGAAAAATACTTTATCGTGTATTGTGCAAGCGCATCAAGCAGTTGCCGCAGGGTAAATATATATGTCGTAGCCCGATAGCTAAATGGCTAATTTCGCTATCGGGCTACGACATATATATATAAAGGAAATATGTATTTCAGTGTCTCAAGTAAACTGCGTGAGATCACAAAACTTAAATTTTACAAGGGAGTCGTTCGAAATTTTTTCTCCTCCTTAATTACATCATACTTTGACTTTTCTTAGTTCAATAATGTTTTTTTACTAGTGTTCTTTAGAAGAAAATAAATACTCTGAGACACAATGTTAAGAGCCAAAACGCAGTTTACCTCTGATACATAAGATGTGAAAACCTCGTTTTCTTTCTATTTCTGAAATATTGCAATACGTACAAAGCAATATTTATGTATGGAGTGTTGTTAGTAAGTGGAAGATGAAGTATTGCAATGTCATCGAAAAATCTACAATTTATATTTATAGCAAAATTCGTCTGGCAACGGAACACATGGATCGTAGAATACGTAGTGGTGCGTCACCAGAAGACGCGTGGAATCAAACTAGCATTGAATTAGCACATTGCGCAGAATCTCATTGCCGAGCTTTCCTAGTAATGAGATTTGTTGAAAATGTCAGAGGATTGACTTCCGTGTCCAAGCAGCTTCACGAAGTTTTAATGCAGCTTTGTGAATTGTACTCGATATATTGGGTATTGCAACGAATTGGAGATTTCCTTCGTGTTAGTTATCATATTATTGTAAAGTAAAATTACCATCATAATGTAGGTCCATTATCGAGTCATTTCATTAACCTGACGCATTTTGCAATTACAGTTTTCCTGTCTAAATAACGAAGATGTTCCGGCGCTCCAGACACGTTTCGAAGAGACACTTGCTGCAATCCGTCCAAATGCTGTCGGTATCGTCGATGGATTTGATATTCGCGACGAGATTCTCGCATCCGCGCTTGGCGCATATGACGGTAATGTATATCAACGTCTTTTTGATGAAGCGATGAAAAGTCCTTTAAATCAGGAGAATGTTAATCAATCCTTCCATAAATACCTCAAGCCTTTCCTTAAAAGTAATTTATAGTCATTATGTGTTTATCACACAATAGCTCTGTTGTAATAGATAAGATTATTTTAAAATTTAAATAAATTTGCGTGGCAAGTTCGGCAATATTATTCGAGTTCACACTTTCCAATGCCTATATATGTCAATCATGGCAAATGCTGTAATACTATAACTTTAAGGTACTTCTTTTCTCATAGTAGTTATATCGAGTTATAACGTCAAGCTATCACAATTAAAAACTATAAAAAAGTAATTTTCTTATAATGTGAATTAAAATAAATTAATTCTTTGCGTGCTACTGCACACACACACAGTTAATAATATGGATTAGTAAAATGTGTAGAACATCTTTTTCGGTTTGTGAATTGGTAAATAGTTGTAAATTAATCAATTGTTACAAAATCTATTTTGCTAGGAATATAAGACGTTTGGATATAGAAAATTATATTTACTAATGTATATTACTAAAAAGAAAATTACTTCCTGTATATTTTAGCAGTTCATATTATTGAACGTGAGTGATAACGTACAAAAACTAATTTATTTTTATGCATATTGCAAAAAAGTTTACATATTCTATATAACTAGTGAGAAAACAAAAGCTTTTTAAGTATAACAAAAATATTTCATTCACTTTTTTATAATAGAGTGTAAGTAATATAAGTAACTCGCAAAACATTGTATGTTGGTATTATATGAGGGCATACAGGTTTCTTGCATGTCGAAGTTATACATCAATGCTTCAGGAATGAAGTAGAATAAAGCAAGTGAGGAATGTGTGGATATAAATTGTTTAGGCTTCCTTTTTTTAGTGTTACATATATACGCACATACTTTAAACATTTACTTTGCTTTACTAGAACTATTATAACTAAAGGATATAAAGCTTAAGCGACTTATTTTCATTAAAACTTTTGAATTCATTCCCTGAAGTACTGATATATAATTAAGAATCATTCTGTATTCGTTGGAATTCCATGTTAAAACATTTGTTAAAAAAAAAATCTTTTTATATGGCGCAATTTACCGGAATCGAATTTGTGAAATTGATGGAAATGTTCTTGTCTATTATACATTTATCGGCATCTGTATTATCATTGATTTTGTTTTATGCGTAAAATATTTACGTCCGTAAACCAATCTTTGAAAGAGACGGTTAATATTTTTGATAGTGATATTTCATAAAATATAAATATTGTATATGTGAAATGAGGGCACATGCAAAGTATTATTTCGCAAATAATAATATTAATAAAAGAAAAATGTAATTTTTATAGTAAGATGCTTAGTGTGTATTTACAGATTTATCTTTAAGAATGTTATATCGCGGCAATTTCTTGTAACTCGAAGGTACAAGTACATATTATATTTTGGTATACACAAATAAAGTGCAAATAATCTTCCTTCGTTATGTCGGTGTGTGATTTTACGAATCACTGAACTCCTCAATTTTACGAAATGGAAGAGATGTTCGTCGTATCTCAAAGAAGTTTCCAACGCGTTTCCTTAGACGGTATAGTATTTATTTACAGAATAGGAGCGACGACATACATTATTGTTTGTTATACTAATATAGTGCAATTATTAATCCCCGTTAATTAAGAACAACGTAATAATTACTTTGATGTCCGCAACAGCGATAACGTGGATATATTCCATCTTTTGCATTTCAGTAAGAAGCTTGTGTCTCTCGCTGGCCTGTTATCGTTGCGATTATATACGTACGTGGTAGGAGATCGATTTTAAATTTCAGAAGGAAAACGTGGGAGAATGATATAAAACACTTTAGTGGGAAAAACCGAAACAAATGCGTTTTATCGCAGTTGCGCGAGCAAGTATAATGTATCTATATATTTATATATAAGTACATATACATGTATATACGTATTTTGTGGGTTCGTGCATAGACGGAGATATATACACATATATGTAATATAGAGACCAGTTAGGGAGCAATAGGACGAGGACGAAGAGGAACAGGAGGAGGAAAAAGAGGAAGAGGAGCGATGGGATGACAGTACTTACACTTAAAAAATAACATTGTTAATATTATCGTTATTATTAAATATTAATCCACTTTTAAAATTATTTTCATTCGTCCACCTGGCCTATGGGCTTTGCCTAGTATTAGACAGACTTTTCATTGCTATAGTGTTCTTACGGAATTACGTCTTCTTATAAAATATGATTTCATTACAATTATTATTTTTCTTCTCCTCTTCGCTTAATTTCTCTCAGACGTTAATTGGCCGCGTGGTGAAGCGTAAGCTAGCAAAAGCTAAGGCAAGCGACACCACGGGGTCAATTAATTACTATCTAACGAACAATTTCATCTATATCATGTACGATTATTAATAGAGATTACGAGCCCCCAATTTCTAGGTCTTTCCTCGTTTACTTCACACGAGACAGTGGTTTCCGAGAGAGAGAGAGAGAGAGAGAGAGAGAGGGAGGGGGAGGGGGAGGGGGAAATTTTCAAAAATGACGGAGAAAACAGGACGATTGTAGATAAAAGAGTATTTCAAAACATTTTGAAAAAGTTAGATTGATGAAAGAGTCGTGTGAAGTATTGGAGGAATCTAATCGATCCACATTAGAAAATCAAATTTAAACGAAAGTAGTACAATAAAGGAGTACCGACTTAATAATAACTTATAAAGGGGAGAATAGGGGTATTTCTTTGATCATAATCGGCATTATATCTAACTATCGTTACTAATGTTCTTATCGTTATTATCCTTATTGGTTGATTTCCTATGTGTACCATTCCGAATTTAGATACACTAAAACAGATTCTGTGAAAAAGAATTCGTTAAATTTAGCAAAATCGAGTCGTTGAAATAAATCTCGAGGCTTCGTTCGCGTACAAGTGACTTTTCATCGATTGAAATGCAAGTAAAAAAAATTATGTCGTGATATGCCGCGGAGAAACAACACCATGGCGCATGTTCAACGAGGATAAATTGAGGCAATAAATTCGTCGTGGATGAGAGGGAGCTACATTATTCTCGATAATAAAATAAATAAGGCGGTTTAGTAGACTCTATACACTTTTCATAGTAGTAATCGTGATCGGCACATCCGGACGTAAGAATCAGCTCAAGAGAAACGGAAGGGTCAAGAACTTGCAGGATGATGGGGGTTGAGAGTACCGTGAGATGGCAAACAACGTGATTATAAGGCGGATTCGTGAGTTTCGTACCAAATCGCTGTTCCTTACGTAGTACATGTGGCAGTATCGGCATGATATACTTTTAAATTACTCCAACGTGTCCGATTTTCCGCGACGGATCGGATTCTGCGAAAAGACGACGCTCACGTACTGTCAGGGAAGAAGAAAAAAAAAAGAGATTCAAGTGCGTCCGTGGAGGAGGGGAGGGGGGGGGATAAAAAATTAACGGAAAAGGCAAAACGGCCAAGGAGACCCCACGTGAAATGGAGAGGAGAGAAAAAAACCGTTAATAAATAAGTGGACTCCGCGATGCGGATCGATCGCGTGACGAATGTCGGCATGGAAAAAACTTCCGATACGAACGAATATACGCATTTGTATCGCTTTTCGCGTGTTCCCTTTCGCTTTCTAATACAGCATTATGGCATCATTTCTGTCGTGCTAAGGCGTGCGCGCTATCGTACCGTTCTTGGGACAAGAAGGAACCACGTGTCTCTTCACTTCTCGTGTCGTGGGTAATCGTGCCGCTCAAGCGCAGCACTTATCTTTCACTTTATGGCAACATGACTTCTCGTCGTTAGAATCTCTAAGACGAGATAATCCCCAGACGGATGTATTAAGAATTTTTATCCGAGTCGATTCAGGTAATAAAAGTGGGATGTTTTATCTTACGGGTGGAAGGAGGGTGTGACGTCCCATTGCCATGCAAATATGATTCAATGGACCCCCACGAGCTATTTCTGCTCGTCCAATGCTCCCGAGCATCGGAAAAATGAAAAATATATTCAGTCTCTACAAAGGAATTCCTCTATGTTTTAGAGCTGAGTTTAAGAGCTGCATTTTATTTCTGAAGAAATACGGTCTGGAAGTTGGGACACGTCGATCGCGCTATTGGCGACACACGCACGCATGGCTGCTGGTTCGCGTTTCAAAAAGATATATGGCACGCTGACTGACAATTTACTTTATTTACTAAAAAATGCATTAATTGCGAATTGGCGATTCGTACAGCACAAGGATTCTGACGAAGCTTACTAAATGCCCGGCGTACATGTGAAACGTGATATTCACAATTATTGGGAGTTTCTGTGTTTATACACAAATTCTCGATATATTGAACATGATTTACACGAAGCAGTTATCTAAACAATAAAATGATCCAAACTGCGAGCAAATTTGTATACGTTTTCAATTACCATCGAATCTTGATTTAAAAATTTAAGATACATTTATCTTGCGCAAGAAACACGCAGAAAGCTAATTAGAGATCAATATTAGTGACAATCGTAATGAATCGAGAAGAATGGAAAGATAACGAGACTAACTCGAGATACGAACGGCCATCTGTTTATCTTTCTAGCGTACAACGAAACGAAGAGAGAAGCTGCGCAGAGAAAATACGTATAAAATCTCATATAAATTTCAGAAATAATCACTATTTTTTATAACGATATGTACAGTACCAGCGACCGATCGACCGTAAATAAATTCCAAACGATCTCGTATAATTGTATAATGTATAGAAATGCACTGACGTAAAATATTCTTTTTGTTGCTCTCGGAATATGTGATGTGGGTCGATGCGGTCGCGCTACGATTAATGCTTAACACATATTCTTAATATAGGCGCCCTTTTTATCCTCTCTGCAATCGATCAATATGGTCGACGAGTCCCGCCGTTTTCGCCTCTATCGGAACGCGAGCGTGCAATAAAAGACCTAAATCTCTGTCGAACTCGGTATTAAACGCTTGTTCAAACAAGTAAATATTGTAAACTTAAAAAAACGGGAAAAAATAGCAACGACGCGCGAACGAGGTTGCAGCTTAACTCCTCGCTGCTCTTACTGTCGGAGAGAAATCACGACGCCGCAACGATCCTTCTTCCCTTCCCTCCTTCCACCGGGAGACAGAATGATTAACGACATAGCAGCGGCGTTTATCGCCCACGAATTTTCACGCTCTCAGTCCTGTACATGTATATACGTATACATACACGTAAATATATATATATGTATATATAATATATATACGCTCTCTAAATACGCTTGTAAATGCATCTTGGAATTGGTGCAACCTCGCCGACGGTGTCTCGACGGGATATACGCGAGAGCGTGTACTCCTCGCCGTTCATTGTCCGTCGCTTCAGTCACCAGCCGGGATGATTACACTCCGAAGAGAATCTTTTCGGAGATCAGCGAGTTAAAGTCGGGCTAACGGAAAGGGAAAGGAAAGTCTGTACAGGGTATTGTGCAAAGGGCGAACCGGAGCGTCAAGCTGTAAGAGTTCGGCGAACGGTCCATCGGCCGAGAGCCGCGAATTCGTCTTGTCTCAGACCCTCTTACTCGTGTACATCTTTCTTTGAACACGACGAGATACAGCGTGTAAGAAAATACAGTTTCCCAGAGTCAAGGGGAATTCGGGCGGCCGAGAAGTCGTACGGCGCGCTAACGTCGTTGTCGCGGCTCGGGCTCGGGTCGAGCTTTCAAAATCATGGGGGGGGGGGGGGAAGCTCGGGAGAATCGTGAAAAATTGGCCTTCCGAGGAGGGAAACGGCAAAGGATCCAGGTAGTTAAGCGAGGATATGTTATAACGGTCGATTTAAAGCTAAGAACAAGGGATGATATCGGCAGGCGCCGACCAAGGGCGGGTTCCGTGTAATCGAGAATCGGCCGACGTTTCTGAGCGACGTTCCTCGGGTAAAACTTTGCGTTTTGGGGAGAGAGTCTATGAGCGCGTGCCGTGCGGTTTGCCGTAGTAATTGTTTCACCATCGACCAGCGGGGATTCCGAAAGCGGGCGTTGATCGTCGGTGGGTCTTTACTCGACTCGGCATCGTGAGATCGCGAGAGGAATCGGCCAAGTCGCCGTCGCGCCGCCGCCGACGCCTCAAGCGTAGAACTCCCGATTGTGGTGAGGCGCGCCCGGCTTAGGGAAGGCCTGCGCCGCGGGTGATCTCCTCGGCTCGTCCAGGGCGTACGAGCCCTCGTCCTTCTTGCGCATCCGGTACACGATGAACATGACCACCAGTATCGCGCAGAGGAGGCCCACTACCGCGCCGCCGATCACAGCTAGAAGCACAATCGAGGTATCTTAGATTTTCTTTTCGGATAAAGCCTTGCCCGCCAAGAGTATAGCTTTCGATCGATACACGTGCGTTAATAATCATCACGCCGCGCCGCCTCTGTAAAGAGGTACGCGGAGCATACGGTCGAATACGGTCGAGAGACACGAGATACACTTGGTCGAGTTCGACGGGAAGCTTTGTCACTTTTGCACTACTCACCGGCTAGCACGCCCGGCTGCGCAAAGAACGAGCTGGTGCGGTCCCCTGGTTTCGGATTCATGATATAGACCTCGTGGATGTCGTCGGTGTTGTCGGCGTGATCGTCTTCCGTGCCCGAGGGCTCGATTACGTTGGCCTCGTTGCCGGGTCGGTTCACGGTGTCAATGGTCGTCTGGAAATTGGACACGGCTCGATCACTTTAATCTGTTTAATTCGCGACCCGACGCGAGAGGAGAAGCACGCGTGTAGACCAACAAAAATATAGTAATCCGTTTCGAGCGGCAAGTGTCGCGTCAGCACTCTAATCGGTCAAATTAGATTGCACGCCTGCGCAAAAAAAAAATATCAAGCGCAATATCGTAAAACGTCGCGAGAATATGATACACCGGTGCAATTTCAGGAGTGAATTTTTTTTTATTTTCTTATTATTATAATTTCACGTAAGCCGCGCGCTCTTTTCCCGCGGGAGCAAATCCAACGATTTGCATTACCAGGCAATTACCGCCGGCAGTAATTTTCGCATTCCCCCGCCCCACGTGCGGAATACATTCGTAAAGGACAAAACTAGAATTCCATAAATTTCTGAAATCCACCAGGCTGAAACGGAAGATCCAAAGTTTTACAAAATTACATAATTTCAGCGAGACATCGCGCGCTCACCTGTTTAGTTTTGACGTTTGTCTCATCGATGATGTACGGAGGAGGTCTCGCTTCGGTCGGCTTGCTCGGGACCTCTAATCCATTGTTACCGGTAAACTCTGTAATAAAAACGTTAGAATTGGCATCTCTTTTACAGGACCGCACACGGATCTCCGCGAGAAACCAGTTTTTCGATATTTCGAGTAGCGCGTTCGCGAAAACTGAAAATCAAATTTCCAATCACCGTGATTGGGGATGAGAAACGATCGGCAGACGACGGATACGTGCAGATACCGTCCAGTTATCAATTTTTCGAAAAATCCTTCCGCCCTTGTGACGCGCATGATATTTTCCCGTAATTCCGCAATAGACATTTTTCCTAGGCATCCAGCCATTGTACAAAAAGATTCGCAGGAATCTCTCCAAGTGGTATAGAACTCGCAATTAAGGGGATCCTAAAGTCACCTGTTTTATCGACACATTCGAATATAGTTTTCGCGCCGGTAAATCTTTTTATTAGCTTTTACGCACAAAATAATGCCATGGCAGGATAAGTTGCGGACCGCATAGCAGAACATTTTCATACTTAAAACACTAAGGTCAGAAGTCTAATGAGAAAGATATTGGTATTTGAAATTTTCAATTTTTTAATCGTGAGCAATTTGAAATTGGCTTTATAAAATTACAACATTCTTCCACGCGATTACAGTACGCGTAAAAACAAAGCGGGGGGGTTCACGACTTTATGTAAAAAACGAAGAAAAATTAAAAATATCGCTTTATAAGTAATTGTGGTTAGGTTAGGTGACGGCTTCACATGCTGATATTTTTAATTGCTCTTCGTTCTTTATATAAAGTCGTGAATCCCCCGTTTTGTTTTCATGCGTACGATAATCGTGCGGAAGAATTTTGTAATTTTATAAAGCCAATTTCAAATTGCTCACGATTAAAAAATTGAAAATTTCAAATACCAATATCTTTCTCATTAGACTTCCGACCCGAGTGTTTCAAGTATGAAAACGTTCTGCTATGCGGTCCGCAACTTATCCTGGTATTATTTTAGGCATAAAAACTAGATTCGAATGTGTCGGTAAAACAGATGACTTTAGGATTCCCTCTGTCTTCCATCGAGGAGAGAGCGAGAGAGATATCGGATGTCATACCGTGGTCATCGTCCCCGTCCTCGTCGTCAGGGCCAAGGCCGCTGCCCGAGGCCTCGAGGTCGTCGCGATTGTCGCCGCCACCTCGGCCGGAACCCTCTAAGGCGTCCTGATCATCCAGGTACAGGTCATCCGGGAAGGTGTTGTAAGTCGAGCTCGCAGACGTCCTCTGTTTGCTGTCGCTCTGTTCCTTCTGTGAAAATCCAAGGAAACGGCCATGTGACTCAATCGATAGGGAAATCGGCCTCGTGTCTCGCGGGACATGTGCCGCGGGTCATTGACACGTCCCGCGGAGCGCGCTCGGCGGCTCCGCGACACCCGAGCTAACGTAATTAAAGGCACGCGCATATCTGAGCGTCCTCCTCTCGACGCGACGGGATCTCCGCGACATGAAAGGGGCCCCGGCCCGCGGTTCATTAAATTTTAATTTAACTCTGCCGCGGGAGATAGAAGCGATCTCTACTCGCTTCCACCTCTCGCGGTAGTTGCCATAAGCGGAGCGCGCGGGGATTCAGCAATCTAGCACCGTCGTCGAGCATCACCATGCAAATGCGCGCAAATTTCAGGTCCAACGGAAGTCGAGATAAGTGAGAGAGAGGAGCGAGCTAAATTCTGTCGGAGAGAAAGATGGAAAAGGACGAAGGCGCGGGGAGGGCTCTCGCTTGGCGACAACGGGGCTCCTCCTGCTGAAGGATCAGCGTGGGTGGCGCGGGTTAACGTTGCGCCGTTCTATTTCTAGAACGTCTTCCCATCTCGCCCTCCCATTGCCTAGCACCGAAATAGAAGAGAGCGCGCGTTCCTCGGCGCGTCCGACGCTCTCGTGTCCCTCGCGCGTTTAACGCGCATAGTAACGGGCCCGCAAAAATCCCGAGCGCTTTAGTTTCGCGCCAGATATTTTTTTCAAGGGCGCGCGATAAAACTACCGTCGCGTTAAATTGAGCAGACGGACGGACGGACGGACGGACGGCCGGCCGTACGTTATCCCGCGCGCGACAAAGAGCGGCCACGACGAGCGGATGATTGAGGAGGAAACGGCGGAATAGCCCACGCTTCCGGTTACGTGATGTCCGCGGAATGCGAAGTGACGCGCCGGGAGGAACGCGAAGCGTCGAACACAGCGGGGATTGCGAGCGCCGATATTCCCGCGATGCGGAGCAATGCCGTTGCGGGAAAATTCCATATTCTCGAAACGATCGGAAAGAGGGAGAGGGAGTTTACGGAAATGTATTACTTTGCAAAATTGATAACGCGCGTTAGATACCGTCGTCCGGTCGCGACGTCACGCACGTGACGGCGCGCGTGGACGAACGTGCGGATAGAACGTCTCGTAACGACGCGATAAAGCAGCGGCGGGAGGAAAAGTCGCGACGATAACGAAGAATATTTTGTCTCGCCGACCTTTGTCCAATACTCGCGGCTGAATGGCGCTATTAACGAGCGCGTCGCGATCGATAGCGCAAAATTCAGTCGTCTCCGCGCTGTCGTCGCGTCGCGATTTCCTCTCCCTTTCGCTTTTCGCCACGGAAGACAATGCGCGCCCGATGACCGTGGAAAACGCGCGTCCAGCACGCGTCGCGTCGCGTTTCCGTTTCATTTCCGCGCGCACGCGACGGCCCCGTGCGCTGGCACGGCGCGACGCATTGTATTCGATACGAGGGTATTGAGACTCGAAATCGTTGGAAGAGGGAAAATAATCGAATTGCGAGACACTAAACTGACTGACAACCGACGACAAATCGCCGGACAAAGATCGGTCGGAAATGTCCCGACCGATATTTTCGCCGCCATCGGAATTTTGTGCCTTATAGTAATAACTCTTGTCGATTTTAGAGACCCTGTAATCAGAGACTGGCCATAAGAGTTCGTCGAGTTACTGCGAGTGAGAGAGAAACACAGGCCATCTCACTCTTCTACGAGCGTAACAATCGTAGAAGACTGAGACGGCCTATGTTTCTCTCTCACTCGCAGTAACTTGACGAACTCTTACGGCCAGTCTCTGATTACAGGGTCTCTAGTCGATTTTGTACATTCGACGTCTACGACTTTCGACTTGTATCTTTCCGTTTCTTCATATCCCGTACCGTCTCGCAGACGAAGCTATCCTCGACGAGTCTACGACCGTACACTTTGCGCGTCGGTCGTTGCTCGCCATTCCGAAGAACATACGGTACGACAACGACGGCAACTATCCTTCGTCTCTCGAGGTGGACCAGACCGAGCGGGCGAAAAGTAGCAAAGAGATTTTCTAATCGGTCAATCTTCGTGACTGAACAATTACGAGTGAACGTACGGGAAGGACTTCTTCCTCCGTGCGTCGACAAGAGCTGGAATGTACGTCATGAACTCGGACTCGCTCGCACTCGCATCCGCTGCCAGCGACGTAGGCTCGTTTACTCGCGTCCGGAAATTTCTCGACCCGAGTCCACCTTGGGCTCCAGGCGAACGTGTCACGGAACAACGTAACGGATAACGAGTGGCGAGGAGAACAACGAGGATCAGTCGCCGCGAGAAACAACTAGTTACCCAGAACAATGGAAACGCAGGAGGAAGAATCCTCCGAGGACCTGGACCTGGACGTAGACGTCGGCGCGTGTAGCCAGCCACACCGGCGGCAGCCGAGTGCGTCGCCCGGTGTATCCGTCGAATCGATACCGGCGAACACGGCGCGGCGTCAGCCCGGTCGAGCCGAGGGCCGAGACCTTGGAGGCCCTTCGTCGGGATCGACGGGACCCCTCTCCCAGGACAGCCCGTTCTCGCCCTTCACCGATCCGCGGAGTTCGTTTCTTTCCCTTTCCCCACGCACACGCACCCTTTTCTCACCCCTCGGTCAAGCCACCCGGGTGGCTTTCGCGTCGCCCTCCTGGACGCGGTGCTCGCGCGGAGATTGCGCGGGCGCGCGCGATGCTATCGACCTCCTCCGCGTCGCTCTCGTCTCGCTTTCGTTCCGGCCCTCGTCCCGGTGGAGCAACGTCTCGCGGACTCGCGTCTCCGCGACTCGTCGAACGTAGGACCCCGCGCTGGTCGACAAAGGCGTGTGCTCGCCCTCGCCACCGTCAGAATTTCTCGGGAGGTCGCGCGCGACAGCGACGAGGGAATCGCCGCGTACGTGCCTGTCGATACCTCTGTACTTACCGCGTGCGATTCGCTCGGGGGGGGTTGACGGATGTGCGCCCGGGACTCCGACGGCGGAAAACGAGAAAATTCGGAGGGTGATGTGCAGCGGTTTTAAGCCAGGTGGTGACTGCACCGACCTAGTACGAGTCCGACTCGGTAGACGGCACTGTCGAGGTCCTCGCGACTGTATATATACATATATATATATACAGTTACCTGTATATATATATATATATTTACATTGTACACCAGGACGTTTTTAAAGCCGGCGCAAGACATCTGAGAACCTACCCCTTGATACATTCGAGCCTAATTGCCCCCCGGAGAGGAGATTTCGCGTTCTGCTTACCGCGTTTTGCACTCCTTGTGATCTCATTCTGCGTTTTGCATATATTCTAAATGCACTCCGGTATAGGTCCGACATATATTTCGCCTTGTGTCTTATTTTACGTCTGTGACCGTCCTGCGTTCTACTCCTCTCGTGACTTACATTCACTCTGCCCATTTCGTGCTACGAATATCATACTTTTGATTCTCAGGTAACTAATGCCTCGCCTTTCGCATATTTTACTCTTTCGCGCATGTACGTTACATCTATCTGTCTATCTTGTCATTAATCTTGCACGTACGCGATAAATTATTACTTAATCGAACGCGAAACATTTCGCGACTCCGATTTCCGCGACCCGGGAGAAAGAGAGGGGGAGAGAGACACTTGGACGAACGTCAGAGTGAACGAACGCGATGGAATCGCGCGTTGTATTTTCGATTTACAAGATAAACGTACGCGCGAGCACGTGCGCGATAAATCCGTCAAGAGCTTCGAGCGAGCGAGCTCCGAATGTATTCAATAAGTCATACGATAAGGCGATTCGCGAACGGCGGGATATTGAAAATCTGCTCTACCCGGTCGGGGGTAGAGCTTGTTGCGCGCGTACACCCACCCACACATCGCCGCCTTATTTGAATGGACGGGATTTTTCATATTGGATTCGAATCCGAGGGACTTAACTCGGGTCTGGCTGCCGCAATGCGCGCGTTTCAAGTCCCGCCGGGTACTTGGATGCTTTTCGCTCCTCGTCGCCGGTTTACCCATCGAGGAAAACGATGGTCAACGCTCGAGAAAATGGAAAAATCGATCGCGCGGTAGACGGCCAGGCCTACCTTTTCGCGACGCGCGCGCGTCGATGTACGCGTGTAACAACACCGGCAAGGGGCCGGAAGTGAAGTTCGGTCCAGCCCGCCGATTCGAACCGTCCATTCTCAGAATTGGCTACAGCGAGGACTTACGTACGGCTCCTTGTTCTCAGATTCGCCTCGCCCAGTGCACGGAACTCGAACACTGTGGATTCCACGATATTCGTCTAGAATACCCGAAGTTCCGTCCCCTTTCTCGACATTTCGGGGAGGAATATTCGCCGTAGCGTTGTTTCTGTCATAACCACGGCGCCGGGTAGTTACGACACACGGAGAGAATTTTTTCTTCAAGTTTAGTCTGAAATTCATGTAATCTCGGGACAACAAGGCGTTTCGAAGAACGTTATGAGCTTTTTGAAATTTTACCATACAATCTGCTACTCTCTAAAAATCAATCGGTGAATTATCACTGGAAACAGTGAACTGTCACTGATCTGCAGTTAGTAATTATACTTGGTATACATTGCATTAGTAGAATGTATGGTAAAATTTACCAAAACTCTCATACACACCCACAGAAAGTTTCCGGATCCAATGCTATTACACTTGAATGTATCAGATAATAGGATCGATATAGCGCCAATCATATTTATTATAGAGAAAGGAGTACTTTAATCGTAAATGAAAGATTCTGAAATCTAGACTAAAATGATAGTATGTATCGTCTTTTGTCGAATACCGCGGTGCGAACTTCGTGCGTTGTAAGATGGAGGGAAAATTTATTCCAAACGCAAGGAAATACACTGGTCAAAAAAATTAACGCAACAAGAAATTTACATCAAAATTTGGCGAATTTCAAATAAGCGTAACTTCGCGAAAACTGGTCGAATTGAAAAGTTTTTTTTTTCATTTTATAGGGCAAAGT